ATTGCTCTTATTATTACTATTGCTCTTACTATTACTATTACTACTACTATTACTATTACTATTACTATTACTATTACTATTACTATTACTATTACTATTATTATTACTATTACTATTACTATTGCTCTTACTATTACTATTGCTCTTACTATTACTATTATTTTTACTATTACTATTACTATTACTATTAATATTACTATTACTATTACTATTACTATTACTATTACTATTACTATTACTATTATTAGTACTAGTACTATTACTATTACTATTGCTATTGCTCTTACTATTCCTATTGCTCTTACTATTACTATTACTACTAGTATTACTATTACTATTACTTTTTGTGTCTGCTGCGCCGCTTTCGATTTGACGAGCCTGCTGTGGATCGCCTTCCCGAAGACCCCTGAATGAGCACCGGTAATCAGAATGTGACAGACCGCGAAGGACCGGGATACCAAACATAATCGCTGAGACTCTCGCCGCTGTTGCTGCAAATAGTGTGGAGGTCTGGGCAAGCTTTTCTAAGCTGGTGCTTGTGATTTTTCTCAAGTCTGGACAGCAATGCCTTGGTGTGTGGTGCCCGGCCGGGCGAGGGTACAATCTTGTCTTTAGTAACTTTAGTATCTCCTGTGTTTTTGGGTTTGCCGGTGCAAGCGCTCGAGTACGGCATACGACGGCAGCAAAGGATGGCAATGCGGATGTCGTGCATGGCGCCCAGTTCACGGGCATCTTCGGTGATACTGGATGTTGATCACCAGTCGCGATCCTGTACTGCGCGCATAGTTCCCGCCACTTAGAGCCGATGCCAATCTACCTTCTCGGCCACTCAACTGACACGAGGCTACAACCCATGCCGGCGGCCGCCAAGGTGGGCGCCGCTTCGATACGTTTTCTTCAGACGGGGGGGTTGCCGGGAAGGGCGCCGGCGTGTGTGGGTGTGTGTGATCTACATATTATGGTGCAAGGCTGGGTTGGTGGGATGGGGTGGAGTGCTCTCCGAACATACATTTTCTAGTTGTATATAATGACTGTATAACTACCTACATCTCTCTCTCTCTCTAATAACATATGATATGTCATTTGTTGTGTATGACCGAATTTTTGTTCTTTATGTTAGACTGTTAGACTGTCTGCCAGGATGTGCAGCAGATTGAGGCCCAGCTCCGACAGGAGCAGGAGCATACCCAGCAGCGCCAACTTCAGCAAAGGCAGCAGATGCTGCAGGCCGCGGGATCTGAGCAGAAGAGTGATTTTAAACCCTCCAGATGCGGCTGTTATTCTAAACAACGACGAGTTCTTGAGTACTTTCTTTTGAGAGTCGCGGCCCTGATTGGAAGAAGTGTTCAGCGTGATAGATTCAGTAGGGATGCTATTCTCCAGCGCAGAAGCAAGCCCTCTCTAGTCAGCGTTCTTGTGAGCAAGGTTTCACAGCAAGCCGAGCCTTTGCACTTCCACTGCAGGCCCAGATACATCAGATCCAACAGCAGCAGCAGCAAATGCAGGAGCAGGCCTGATTCTCCGTGGTTTGCTGACGGCTTGGACCCAGATAGAGACCTTGAGGTTAGGTTTTCAGGGTTTCAGGGTGCAGGGCCTTGGTTGAGGTTCAAGGATTTCAGAACACGTCTTATGTCCGATATTGTTGAGGTGGCCGCATGCGGCACATTCTGTCTTGCGTGGGTCGGTGAGTGTTGCCAGTAGTGCGGCAGAGTCTCCCAGCCCTCAGTTCCTTCAAGGGCACCCGGCAGTCGCCATAAGCCTGGATGCAAAAGGGCTTCGGTCAGGGCCCTCTGGATGCAACACGGGCTTTGCGGTTTAGGACATGAGGGCTCGTGGAGACCGGTAATCGGCGTTCAACGAAGCGCATTTCTCTGGATCGTCTCGGTAGCCGATGGGGGAGATGCCGCCACCGCATAGCACGATTTCCTGGCAGCTTCCTGCACCCGATGACTGCGCCAGGTTCGCCTCGCGCAGCTGCTGGAGCTAAACCAGCTTCGCCTGCAACAAAGTCAATTGCAACAGGCCAGGATTCCAGCATTTTCACACATCACATCTGCTCATCTGCTCATGCGAGGCGCAGCAGCAAATGATGTTTCAGCAACAGCAGCAGCATCACCAAGTGATGCAAAGGACCGTGATGCCAGTTTGTCCATCGGGGGTCCGCAGAAGCCCAGTGTGCACGAGGAACACACCAACTAACCCACCAGCAGATCCAAATCAGAGTCGGCTGGCGATGCTGCAAGAGGACCGGGAGGGGGCGAGCGTATGACGGCCTATGGACCAGAGCTTGTCCGAGGCTGCACAGGAGGTTCATCACCTCACCCGCCAGCTGGAAGAAGCAACCGCTTCCCAGCAAAGCCATTACCATTACAATCCATTACATGACTCCGATGGGGCCAGTGTCTGCAGCTTTTGCCGTGTCCCAGCCGAGGCTGTGCTTTCAACACAAGGCCTTGCAAGCCGAGCGGGGTCATTCCCGCTCGGATTGAGAATCACTCTTCTGTGCTGATCCTTCGGGCTTGTGCTCTGCCGGTCAGGGCAGGGCTTGTCGCAATCGTCGATGCCCGCGGCACCGCTCTCAGATCCTCTGAGGTCCGCCAGACGTTTCGGGTGGGTCTGGTGTGGTTTCTGTTCCGGTCGAGCCCCTTCGGTATATGAGTTTGGACACGTGTCGAAATGGTACGACATCAGGCGATGTGTGGGCAGCAGGCTTTTGCCGGCCGCTCAGATGGCTCTCGTCCGAAAGTCACGAGACAATATGACAAGAAACCGTACTTGCATCAGCTGGGACAGTCTGGATTCGGATAGTCTCCTGTCGGTATGCCAGGATTCTGCTCAGATGCCTGCGATGGGCATGAGTCGGATGGGCGGCACAGATGCCAGTTCTCGCCTCTTGGTGGAAGCGAGTGGACAGGCATGATTCGATAACATATTCATCTTCGGCGGCATCATGATATTCTGATCAGTCCGTCAGTTTAGTTCATTATGGGCATTACTTACTGGCTGTTGCTCTTCCTCATGTCACGATAAATCTCCCAGTTTGCTCTACTCCCATCCTGCTGCAACGAGGAGTAGCAAAAAAGCACGATGTCCAACCGAAGCTAGGAAGCTCCAGTGGCTGAGATGTTCGGATCTTTCAGAGTACTTAGAGGCAATGTTTGCTTTGCCAGTAACACTCCTGCCGATGATGCCCTGCTGCAGTCGCTTTTCCTCCCAAACCTTCGGACTTGTGGGGTTCGCCCGGGTCCGCCCCCAGGCTCACACGCACAGATGTATCAGCAGCCGGGTCTGCAAGCTCCCTTGCAGCAGCAGGCCATCCTGCTCTCTCGCCGCCGTGAACCCAAGAGGTGTAGCGGAAAAGAATACACTCGTAGTTACCAGTTCTTGCTAAAACAATATCAATAGCGTAGCCATGCTCCGGCACGCTGAGATCACCGCATCTCTACCCGCTTGTGGATTTCAGCCTGCCGTAGGCCCAACTCTGGCAGCTGAACCAAGCCATGGGTCTTTGTGGGGGCTGCGGCCTCAGTGATGGTCGGATGCCTGCTGGTTGCAGGCTGGAATCGGAAGGGTTCAGCATGTAGAGTGAGATGCGCAAACGTCTATAGGGCTCAGCGAGGCAGTGTCGAGGTTGAGTATCATCCGAGGTACGTATCTCCAGATAAAGATGTCACAAGACTCTGGCCCTAGCGAGTTGGTATAGTGGTGGCGGTGACTATGGTCCTCTTTGGAAATCCGTTCCTTGTCACGGCAGTGCAGACTAACAAAAGCAGTCTTCGGCATTGTGACGTGACTGAGCAAGGTGACCTCCTCACCTCAGAGGCCGGTGACAGTGCGCTGTTCAATACGGGAAAGTGCTGTCATCTGTCGGTTGAGGTTGCAATGCAATTCACAGCAAGGGTTGAGGAAAGGGGTGTAAGATTCAAGACTGAAAACAACGAAGAGGTGATGAGGCAGAAGCCTCTGACGCTCAGCTGCAGTGAGTTTGGCGGCCGTGTGGGAAGATGAGGGCAGCCTCAGGTCAACGCTGATGCACTTTTCGTAAGCTCAGTCTTAGAGGAATCCGAGGTGTTTGCGACACTCTCCTGCCTCAGTACATTATGGGAGTTTCCGAAAATTGGGGGTCCCTCATTTTGGGGGCCTTATAATAGGGATCCTACTATGTTAGGGTCCCGTATTTTCGGAAACTCCCTTATGTCTTCAGAGGGCTTTGTGAACCGAGGCAGTAGGCCGCTTTCGGTTGGTGGCCAGACGGTGAATGCCAACCGGCGCTTGTGAGACTGTGAGACCGATTGTGGCTTTTGCATGGCAGGAATTCGTGTTTCGAAGATTAGCATCGACATCGCTGAAATGTCGGCAGCAGTTCAGTAGTTCCCTGCCGTCTGCAGCCAGCAGCAAGCAGACGCATCGAAGTACTCCACTATGCGTGGGTGTGCAAAAGCAGTGCAGAAACACGCAGAGACCCGACAAGCTCGCATGCTGGCTGCCGAAGCACACCACATGGCGTTTCCCGAGCCTGGACGAAATGGGAAGTGTCAAAGCATGAGCAAAAAGTGTGGCAGGACGGTGGAGCCAGCAAAAGCACCAGAGATGGCGCACAGACAGGTAAATCTTGGTTTTCCAGCTCATGGTTCGGCATGCAACGAATCGCAGGGACGAGGATTAGCAGCAAACTTCGTCGTCATGGCAGTGATCGTCATCGTCTTTCTAGTACCGGGGAGCACCAGCCGTCACTGGGACAAGAAGCATCGAAGTTGCGATGTTTGAGGGGCTGGAAGCTTGCCATTTCGAACCAGGCGCAGAGTCGGAAAACCGGCTTTGGGTCCTCGACTTTGTGCCTTTGTGCAGCGACTTTTGGGTCCCATTCCTGTTGACAAATGGGAGCCCTGCTTTCAAGACCATGGCTTCAAGACGCCGGGCGATTTGATAGTTGTATGTGAGTTCGGGTTCCCAGGCGTTTCTAGCATTGCTGCGTCATCTGTTGAAATTTCGAAGCAGCAATGCAAGTGGATTTTCGGACGTTGCAAGCAGCGGACCCGAATTCAACCTCCTCGGAAGGGGCCTTCCTTGATGATGGTGTCTACAAGCTGTCCGACCCAACAATCATCTTGGCCCGTTTCAGAAGGGACGAGCTCTGCTCTTTGCCTCCCGGGGGGTTTCTGCTTTGAAGGGTTGGGGCTAGAGTTTTGGGTATAGGGTTTAGGGTTTAGGGTTTGGACAACGAGGCCTGCTGCAAAAAGGGTTTAGGGTTTTGGCAAAAAGGTGTAGGATGTAGCGTAGAAGGTTTCGGCTTGGGTTCCAAAGCTTGTGCGGTGGGATGATTGTCTGACTTTGCGACCGGCGATCACGTGATGCTGATGTGTCGGCTCGAGGCCACATACCTCACATGCTAGTATTAGTATTAGAAGTCAAAATCGCCTCAACCATCACTACAGCACATGTTGATACGAGAAACCAAGCCACAAGAAAGAACATATAGCATGTCACGGTCAAATTCCACCTACACGCAGGGAGAACAGCACGGCTGACCATCGTAGAAGTATTCATACTTTCTTTGATGTCGTTGGCGCATTTGGCTGCATTCTCAAGGTGGGATTTCGTGGAGCTTAAATCCCAAATCGTCAGACCCTGAACCATATAAAGCCGACAGGCCACATACATGCCTTGCCTGACAGTCCGAGTTTCAGCAGCCAAACTTCGAACCCACAAGCCAGCTATACAGGTGAAGCCTATTCAGAATCGTTAGATTTTGGCGATCGTCTTCACAATTGTGGCCCCAAAGCTACCTCGCCGTATTAGAGTCCAAAGCACGAGAAACGGCTTCAATCCACTAACCTTTGACCACATCCCCAGGCATGCCAAGCTGCACCATGCGCCGCCCTTATCGAGAACTGAGCATGCCAACCCTGAACATGTTACGCCATGCTTTCAGCCTGTCGTCCCTGCATTTTCACAGCCCAGTCGATGCAGTAGTTATACCGATTATGATGGTGATGGGCGTACTGCTTGCTCTTGATCCTTTCCCCTCCTTGCTTGGACTACTTTCGTGTTCATGGGTTGTGATGCTGAGAGTTGAGGGTTTAGGGCTGGCTCCAGTCAGCTGTCCTGGCGTGACGTTGCAAGTCAGTTGCAACAGTGTTGGCTCCCAACACAGGTCATCGGAACGACGCTCGGGCAGTGGGTGCTGACCCTCGGAAGGCAATCCCAGACCAGGCTCCATTCCAAATCTCTCCTTGAAGCTTTCATGGAGGCGAGGCTTAGGAGTATCTTTCGGTTTTCGGGTTGGGGGCCGTGGAGACCAGCACCCAGCCGAGCCAGCATCTGTTTTCAAGGATAATCTTCATCTTCCTAGTGCTGCAGTTCATCGGCACGGCTGCAAGCTCGGGGACTTTCCAATGGCTCACTTCTTGACTTTTTGGGCCAGCAGCAGTTGGCATCAGCCCCTGGGAGCTCAGGTGGTGTGTCGGCTCACAGAGTTTAACAATTGGAATGACAGCTTCTGGACCTGCTACCTGGCTTCAGTTTCGCCACTCTTGATGATGTTCGCGCTTTTGAATCACGATGCTCCCTGTGCCTGCGCCGGACCCGGAGGGCTTCGGAACTGGAGCTCAGGTTATACTCTGCTGATTGATATCGGCACGCAAACCGGGCTTCCGGCCGATGCCACCCCGACTGACAAACTCGTGTCGGTGGTCCGGATCCCGGCTCTGGCGGTGACGAGATGCTGGGATGTGGGGATTGTCCTGCTTTATTAACTTTATTATTGTTACTACTACCATGACCATTGCTGTTATTATGGTTATTGCTGGACCTTCAGATGCTTATGTCTTGCAGCCACCGTCGTGCACAGCACCATGCTTTGCTTGTCGTGGATAAGGTCATCTCTTTGGAAGCTTGGTCGCATCCTGCAGCAACGTGCAGACTGGTTTTGTGGGTCAAAGTATATGTCAGGACTGGGGTAAGCAAATCGTTCAGGTCGACGAGCCGTAGCTTGCCTTGCGTTTTGACCCATGCCAGATGGACTGGCAGGTGGGTTTCGTCTACTGCCTCACACTGCTCGGTATGGTGGTCGACCTGATCCGAGAAGTGTTGGATGACTCGCGGCCTGCATCGGCAAACGCGTATTTTCCGCATTTCTTACAAGGCCGCCTGTCTCCTGCAGTCAACATGCAGGCACTCCTAGGGTCCTAGAGACGGAGAGGCTTCATTGTTTGACGAAGCTTACAGGCTTTATCCGGCCGAAAGCTGGCTCAGGACTGTCGCACTAGATTCAGCAGCGTTCCTGCCAAAGACCACTGGCTTATTCTTGGCTGGGGCGACAAAACTTTGCTTCTGGTGGATGAGCTGCATCACAGCAGCATAAAGCTGTGGCGAGCCGTCGTATGTAGTGCGGCGAGTATGGCATTCGGCATTCAATCCTCGCCATTCGCGCCCTGCTTTTCAGTGAGCCCCCTAGGCTGTCTGCCATCTCTGACGACAAGCGGCGTTGCTGCGGCTGCTGCAGGAGGACTTGTGGTACTGGGGTTGCCTTGTAGCAAGCGACAGGAGTGATGAACGTACGCACATAAAACCACTGCGTGGGCAGATCGACAAAGAGACCTTTCGTTGCATTGTGCCATGCAGATCAGTCTTACTGTTGAGTTCATGACCCTGAACTAGGTTGTGCATAAGTTGATCTCCCACCTTTGCCTTTTTAAAAGGGTTGTGCCTGGCCTGATATGATCTACGAGGGGTCGGAATAATTACGAATAGTATTCCCGTATGGCCCCTTACATAGCTGTAGTATACAGTTATTCATGTCCTTATAAGTAGACACCCTGGGCCCAAAACCCTGAACTCAAAACCCGAAACCGTTTATTCCTACATCACCAAGCAGGCGGCAGATCGTGATTCTCGCAGACCTCTCGGAACAGCACATGGCCGAGGAGGCGCTAAACACCACTGTTGCTGTTGTATAGTAGAAGCCAGAAAGTCGGAATATGGTTTCAGGGTAGGATACCCTATAATTTACCATAAAGGGTTTAGGATAATCATATTCCAACTTTCCGGCTTTTACTGTAGTAGAAGCAGAAGAAGAAGTGGAAGTGATACGACCACTGCTACTGCTAGTACTACTGCTGCGACGACGACCGCCGCAGGACTACCTCCGCATGTTCAGAAGTTCACAAAGAGAACAAGACTGGTTGTCCTGGTGTCGTTGCGTGTCCATGCCAGCGTTTACGGCATCAGCGTGCATCAGCCTTCAATCCTGTTGTTCATTGGAGTCCAAAGAATAGAGCAGGGGAGTCATGTGGCTTCTTCACAACATCGATCGATATCAGAGTGGCATGGCGTGAATGCTACTACCCGAAGTTTGTCTTTACCGTTTTCATCGAGACGTAGCTGTTCATATAGTTTACATGAGGAACCTAATCTTCTTTCTGCGAGTAATCTTACCTTGGTGTGCCTTACCTGGCCCTTTGCAGGTCCAGATGCACTGCAAGACCGGGCAGTCGCGGCACAGTTTGGCAAGGTTCTTCTTTCCTGTGATTCGTGCCCTGCCAGCAGCACTTTCGCATTTGATGGCGCCTCCAAAGCTGATTATCATCCTCATGTAATACCTATTTGGAGCTACATAGGAACTGTCGCTATCATGCCCATCTCGGTTCTCATTCTCGGGTCATCCTGGACTCCAAGCTTGTCCCTACTGGGACTAATTACCGGCTGTGACTTCTTCGTCGTTGTTGCAGGTGGTTCTGGCAGTTACTTGCTCATCAGGAGCTTACACTGCTAGGAACTCTTCGCTGTTTGGGGATACCTTTCAGATCCTTGCTCAGGATACAAGGAAGGCAACCCGACCGACGTGACCGAGCTGCTGAAAGTTAGTGCGCCCTATGCCAATGAGATCCTCGTCGCCAGCACGCCGAGCTCCCAGGATCCGAAGACTCTGCGCGCAGCCAAGGCTTGTGTTAAGCCGCCCAGACCCCTTAAGTCCGAGTGTGAGCGCCGAAGCACCTAAACATCGAAAAATGGCGGCAGCCTTTATGGATCATCGTAGAGCTTTGAGAGCCGTGTGGTCGAGCGAGCATGGCCTTCGTAGAGAAGATCCTGGTTGTGGCGACGTTCGTCTTGAGCCTGTTTCTCAATGCTTTGGCAGCACGTGGATTTCTCTCTGCCCAGTCGCTCGGTGCAGTCTCTGCCGCCCACCCAACATACCTCACCCCTGACATGATGACATTCTTGGTTTGGGTAGTGACCTACACCCTCGAGGGTGTGCTGGTGGTGATGCAGTGCTCACCATCTGAAAAGTCCGAGAAGCTCTTGCAGCAACGGTGCTTTCTCACAAGCCTTTCTGTTCGGTGGCGCCTGGTCATTGCCTTCCTCCTGAATGCGCTCTGGTTGCCACTCTATGCCAATCTGTTATGGGGAAAGGCTATGCTGGTCATCATCGTCTACCTGGCATTCCTCCTTTTGATCTACGTCGACGTGAACACCAAGACTACATCTTCGTTTGCAGAGTGGACAATCTATGCCTCTGGCATCGCATGCAATATCAGCTGGGTGCTGGTAGCAGCGGCTGCGAACAAGTTTACCCTCGCCGGGTACTACGGGTGGACTGATACTTACGGAGTTTCAGGAACTCCGCAGGCTGCAGTGATTGTGATTGGCATCCTTGCAGCTGTGGCGGTTATGGTGGCTACCTTGCATAGCGATTTTGCTTGGTCTCTCGTCACGATGTGGGCCTTTGCTGGGCTGTACCGGCAGCAAACGCTCTCGGATGCCAGCTTTCCTGCTCAAGCCATGAGCAGGCCTCTGGCTTTGTGTTCAGCTTGGGCGGCTGTTGTTGTCGGAGTGGCGACTGCATCGGGCATGTTCCTCATCCCTTACAACGGAATCTTCCAGTCGAAGCGCGACTCGTACGACGAGCTTCCACTGGTGAACGAGTGAATTGAGTGATCAGACCGTAAAGACCGATGCTGGAAGCAGAACGCTGAAGGCAAAGTTTTTGCTCGGAAAGCCCCATGATCAACTCACTGGGGGCGTGGATGTTCAGTTTTCCGCGGAGAGATGCCGCATGCAGAATGCGGTGGGTCTGCAGTCGAAAGCGACGTCGCAGTCCGCTGGCACTGCAGCTTCAGGCAAGAGCGAAGAGAAACGCACCCCCCCTGCATGCATCTTGAGAGCATCGAGCACTGCGCTGGCCTCGCTTATTCACAACTGTGCAATCGTCTCGTTGAAACTCCCCCAAACTGCCACGGCTTGTGATGTAAGAGCCAAGATGCCTGAACTGCCCAAAGCCCGGAGCCCGAGCGTGAGCGCCACAGCACTCAAATGCACAAAAGCGGCTACTTGTACAGCCTTTGTGGATCACCGGATAGCTGCCGTAGCACCGTAGGACTTTGAGAGCCGTCTGGTCGAGCGAGCATGGCTTTCGTGGAGAAGATCCTGGTTGTGGCGACGTTCGTCTTGAGCCTGTTTCTCAATGCTTTGGCAGCACGTGGATTTCTCTCTGCCAAGTCGCTCGGTGCAGTCTCTGCCGCCCACCCAACATACCTCACCCCTGACATGATGACATTCTTGGTTTGGGTAGTGACCTACACCCTCGAGGGTGTGCTGGTGGTGATGCAGTGCTCACCATCTGAAAAGTCCGAGAAGCTCTTGCAGCAACGGTGCTTTCTCACAAGCCTTTCTGTTCGGTGGCGCCTGGTCATTGCCTTCCTCCTGAACGCGCTCTGGTTGCCACTCTATGCCAATCTGTTATGGGGAAAGGCTATGCTGGTCATCATCGTCTACCTGGCATTCCTCCTTTTGATCTACGTCGACGTGAACACCAAGACTACATCTTCGTTTGCAGAGTGGACAATCTATGCCTCTGGCATCGCATGCAATATCAGCTGGGTGCTGGTAGCAGCGGCTGCGAACAAGTTTACCCTCGCCGGGTACTACGGGTGGACTGATACTTACGGAGTTTCAGGAACTCCGCAGGCTGCAGTGATTTTGATTGGCATCCTTGCAGCTGTGGCGGTTATGGTGGCTACCTTGCATAGCGATTTTGCTTGGTCTCTCGTCACGATGTGGGCCTTTGCTGGGCTGTACCGGCAGCAAACGCTCTCGGATGCCAGCTTTCCTGCTCAAGCCATGAGCAGGCCTCTGGCTTTGTGTTCAGCTTGGGCGGCTGTTGTTGTCGGAGTGGCAACTGCATCGGGCATGTTCCTCATCCCTTACAACGGAATCTTCCAGTCGAAGCGCGACTCGTACGACGAGCTTCCACTGGTGAACGAGTGAATTGAGTGATCAGACCGTAAAGACCGATGCTGGAAGCAGAACGCTGAAGGCAAAGTTTTTGCTCGGAAAGCCCCATGATCAACTCACTGGGGGCGTGGATGTTCAGTTTTCCGCGGAGAGATGCCGCATGCAGAATGCGGTGGGTCTGCAGTCGAAAGCGACGTCGCAGTCCGCTGCCACTGCAGCTTCAGGCAAGAGCGAAGAGAAACGCACCCCCCCCTGCATGCATCTTGAGAGCATCGAGCACTGCGCTGGCCTCGCTTATTCACAACTGTGCAATCGTCTCGTTGAAACTCCCCCAAACTGCCACGGCTTGTGATGCAAGAGCCAAGATGCCTGAACTGCCCAAAGCCCGGAGCCCGAGCGTGAGCGCCACAGCACTCAAATGCACAAAAGCGGCTACTTGTACAGCCTTTGTGGATCACCGGATAGCTGCCGTAGCACCGTAGGACTTTGAGAGCCGTCTGGTCGAGCGAGCATGGCTTTCGTGGAGAAGATCCTGGTTGTGGCGACGTTCGTCTTGAGCCTGTTTCTCAATGCTTTGGCAGCACGTGGATTTCTCTCTGCCAAGTCGCTCGGTGCAGTCTCTGCCGCCCACCCAACATACCTCACCCCTGACATGATGACATTCTTGGTTTGGGTAGTGACCTACACCCTCGAGGGCGTGCTGGTGGTGATGCAGTGCTCACCATCTGAAAAGTCCGAGAAGCTCTTGCAGCAACGGTGCTTTCTCACAAGCCTTTCTGTTCGGTGGCGCCTGGTCATTGCCTTCCTCCTGAATGCGCTCTGGTTGCCACTCTATGCCAATCTGTTATGGGGAAAGGCTATGCTGGTCATCATCGTCTACCTGGCATTCCTCCTTTTGATCTACGTCGACGTGAACACCAAGACTACATCTTCGTTTGCAGAGTGGACAATCTATGCCTCTGGCATCGCATGCAATATCAGCTGGGTGCTGGTAGCAGCGGCTGCGAACAAGTTTACCCTCGCCGGGTACTACGGGTGGACTGATACTTACGGAGTTTCAGGAACTCCGCAGGCTGCAGTGATTGTGATTGGCATCCTTGCAGCTGTGGCGGTTATGGTGGCTACCTTGCATAGCGATTTTGCTTGGTCTCTCGTCACGATGTGGGCCTTTGCTGGGCTGTACCGGCAGCAAACGCTCTCGGATGCCAGCTTTCCTGCTCAAGCCATGAGCAGGCCTCTGGCTTTGTGTTCAGCTTGGGCGGCTGTTGTTGTCGGAGTGGCGACTGCATCGGGCATGTTCCTCATCCCTTACAACGGAATCTTCCAGTCGAAGCGCGACTCGTACGACGAGCTTCCACTGGTGAACGAGTGAATTGAGTGATCAGACCGTAAAGACCGATGCTGGAAGCAGAACGCTGAAGGCAAAGTTTTTGCTCGGAAAGCCCCATGATCAACTCACTGGGGGCGTGGATGTTCAGTTTTCCGTGGAGAGATGCCGCATGCAGAATGCAGTAGTTCTGCAGTCGACAACGATGTCGCGGTCCGCTGGCACTGCAGCTTCAGGCAAGAGCAAAGAGAAACGCACCCCCCCTGCATGCATCTTGAGAGCATCGAGCACTGCGCTGGCCACGCTGATTCACACTTGTGCAATCGTCTCGTCGAAACTCCTCCAAACTGCCACGGCTTGTGGTGTAAGAGCCAAGATGGCTGAACTGAGAAACGCCCCACTGCATGCATCTTGAGAGCATCGAGAACTGCGCTGGCCTCGCTTATTCACATTTGTGCCATCAGATCCCTTGTTTACCGTCATGTTTTCCCACCCTCCGATGCAGGTAAAGTCCTGGCTGTACTTTTCGAGAGGAAACGACCGATCCGAGGTCAAGCAATCCTTCGCGTTCAGATGTAAAGGCCATCTCCACATTGCTTTCTGGGCAGCAAGAAATACACCGGAAGCACCTCGTGACAGCTGGGGTTCAAGGACGTTTAGGGTTTAGTTTAGAGGTTCAGGGCCGGGCTTATGTAGGATTTTGTGTTCAGGGTTCATGCTCTGTGCACTGCTTTGCTCGACTCTCGTTTGAGTGCCTCCCCGCTGGCGCAGCTTAGGCTTGCAGTTGCTGCAATGCCTTCAGATTCGCCTGTCACCTGTGATGTGTCGGTGGAGGCTTGCTGGCATCCAGGATGGTGGGAAGTTGGTTGTATAGTCGTTTTTCGGCGCAAAGACAGCATTTTGCTGGACTTCCGAGGAGATGTGCGATCCGAACAATGTGAAAGTCGCCCAGACGATCCTGAAGCAAGCACGCGGAATTGCACCTTGGCGGCTCCGAGCTTCGAGCTGGAAGAGAGCCTGTGCCCTCGTCCCTCGTTTCTCCTTAGGTTGCGAGGCAGCTTGTCAGAAGGATGCTGGCCACACGCCGGCACTTGGATTTCGATGTGCAGCATGTTGCTAAATCATGGTCCTAGTTGCGAAGAGTACCGACAACACTTGGGCGAAGCTGCTCCTGTCTCATCTCAGGTTTTGCGGTCGCTGGTACCTTCTGTGGGGTACGTGCAACTCGGTGGTGTAGTTCTGGCACGGGCCGGCAGGCTGGATGGGTACAGTGGAGCACCATTGTTATAGACACGATTGGGACATGCAGCACGCGCTTGAAACTCTGCGGCAGCGTGCGCGGCTGCCTGTTTTCAGCTTCCTGCATGTGCCTACGAATTCTGCTGTCCTGCACCATGTCGTGAAACAGCGTCACCGTCCAGTGGACACGACAGCAGGTGGAGCAGTCAGGCATCTAGCTACTGAGTGCTGGTGTTCTTTGTGGCGTTCTTCTGAAGAAACGCAGAGGGACGTGTATGTATGTATGAGTGAATGTCCTTGGCGTTCTTCTGGTGGGCTCTTAGGACTTTACCTTTTGGGGCTTCTATATGAACTATTATAAGGAGGCTAAAAGCCTGGCCTAACTTTTAGGAGAGGTTCAGAAGTCAGCCAAGTGTATGTAGGTATGTATGTATGTATGGACGTATGAACAGATTTACTTGCATGCGCACATGAGATATGAATAGATCGGTAGTCGTTCACGATGTTACACACGATAGACACACAGAAGCACATGCGCATAGATGTTTGTCTATACATACAGGTACCCATACGTCACATACACATACATGCACGTATAAATGTAGACATGCACATACACATGCACATACATAAAGTTTGATCTACATGTACATAATGCAGATACAAGTATACGTACCGCATACCCATACCCATACCCACACCCATACCCGTACACGTACACATACACTCACACCTACACATGCACATGCCCATACACATACGCATACGCGCACACACACACACATTCACATACACATTCAGATGCACATGCACAGTCTCCTGAGCTGCTCGAGTGCGAGTGCTAAAACACATACTCATACACATTTACAAACATGCACACATCACAAACACACACGCATACAAACACACTGACATATATATATATATATGTGTGTGTGTGTGTATATATGTATATATATAACACACACTCATGCTCACACGCTCACACGCTCACACGCTCACACACTCTCACACTCTCACACTCTCACACTCGCACACTCACACTCACGTTCACGTTCACGCTCACACCCACACTCACAGTCGCACTCTCACTCACTCACTCTCGCACGCCCATTACGCACATACATGT